TTTCAACTGCAGAGCTGATGATCACTATATCAGTAATTGTAAGAAGCTGAAGAAGAGAAGAAACTGAGAAGATATCTTCTTAAAGTTAACTTCTCTTCTGACAAATGTATTCATGAAAGATAAAGAAGAGAAAGAAAAGAATTAATAATTCTCACATCTCTGAGTTCATGTTATAATCACAATGTATACTCTGAATGAGAAGATATCAGTGAGATGTCTACTTGACTTCAGAGTGAATGTTAACTTTATATTCTATTTCTTTTCTTTGATGAAGAGTTAAAAGAAGATAGATTCATCAGATCATGTGAAATTTACTGATGAAATGAAATATTATTATTTTGACATAATTCAAGTGAAGTGTGTGATCATAGACTCTGAAGAAATCTTCAAAAAGAGCAGTCTACTTCTTCATGCAGTTAACATCATAGATGAGAATGTCATTCTAGATCTTTCATGATTGAGAGAAAACAATTCTCTCATTAACTGAGTCACTCAGGCATGACAGTATCATCTCACTGATAAAGAGACAGTGATAGAGAAATCTGAAGAGTTTCATTGAAAGAATCTTGAGAAAAGAATTAAGTTAATATACTATGTAACAGATGATTGAGACTTGAAGATAGATGAAGAAGTCATCACCCTCACTGCAAGATTAGCAGCAGTATTCATCATTGAAGATGAATATATATAACATCTCTTTACAGATTTTAAGAATGTCTTTTTGAAAAGAAAAGCAGTAAAGTTTCCTGATATCAAGATATGATATAAGATTCATCTTGAAGACAGTGTAATAGTACTGTATAAGTCTCTTTACAACTTATCTGTAAAGGAGTTGAATGTTCTGCACAAATATCTTGAAGAAGCACAATCAAAGAACTGAATATATTTATCAAAGAGTTCAGCAGAAGCATCTATACTCTTTATGTTCAAGAAGAATAATAGACTATGTCTATGCATAGACTACAGAGGCCTTAATAAGATAACAGTTAAGAATTGCTATTCATTACTATTAATCAATGAGATGATTGATTAATTATCTGAAGCAAAGATGTTCTCAAAGATTGATATACAGAATGTCTATTATAGAATCAGAGTTAACAAAGACAACATTTGAAAAATAACTTTTTATATCAAGTACAGTAATTTTGAATATCTTGTTTTATCTTTTGATCTTTGTAACACTTCAGTCATCTTTCAGATCTATATAAATAAGGCACTGCAGGGCCTTGTCAATGTCTCCTGCATAGTATACCTGAACAACATTTTAATCTTCTTGAAATCAGAGAAAGAACATGATACTCATGTTCAAGAAGTATTGAGTCACTTAAGACAGCATCAACTCTATACAAACACTGAAAAATGCTCATTCTACATGCAGGAGATTGATTTCTTAGATTATATTGTTGAGATGAATGGCATTTCAATGAACAGAAGCTGAGTCTCTGTCATTGAGAACTGGCCAGCACTGCGGATGTACTGTGAGGTGCAGGTGTTTCTAGAATTTGTGAATTTCTACAGATGATTCATCAATGTATATTTATAAATTACTGCCCCTCTTACAGATCTGTTGAAGAGAAGTGTGAAAGATAGAAAAACAAGACTGTTTACTCTCACTCAAGACACTGTACAGGCATTTGCAGAATTGAAACAAGCTTTCACAGATATCATGATACTGAATCATTTTAATTCTGACTTACTCAGTCAGTGTGAGACTGATGCATCTGAGAATGAGATCTGTGAAATCTTTTTACAGTTGACACTGAAGATCTTTCAATGTTGAAAGAATCAGAGAATAATCATCTCTGAAGAAACAGACAATGAATTGTCTGTAAGAGAAGACTTTTTCACAGAGTCTATAAGACACTGTGAATGAAGATCAGTGACCTTCTTCTTCAAGAAGTTATCACTCATGCAGAGAAGATATGATACTCATGATCAGAAGATGTTAGTAATTGTTAAATTCTTTAAGATCTAGTGACATTATCTTCAGAATAGTAAGTACTCAGTGTAAGTTCTCACTGATCATGCAAATCTGTATTACTTCTTAATAACAAAGAGCTTGACAGAATATTAAGTCAGGTGAGCAGAGCTGCTTTCAGAGTATGATTTCTATATCTGATACTGTTCAGATCAGCTTAACCTCATCAACACACTGTCTAGACAGTCTGATTATAATATTGTTGATGCAGAGAAGAATTCTATAAAAGAATCTCTGCTATCACTGCAGAAGAAGCTGACTGCAGAGAGTTGAGATTCTCTAAAGCTCAGAAACAGCATCAGAGAGGCAGCTGCATGACTCAGTATAAAAGATAAAAGAGAACCCAGGTCTCTGCAGAGAACTGATACTGAAGATTATAATCTTCTCATATCACATCTTACAATTATTGAATTGATAAAGAATGAAACAGTCTACAATCTTTCAATCTGACTACTTTTGAAATTTATTGATAAGTTATAGAAGAGGGACATCTCTACTGCAGCTTGAATTCAGAAGTTGAAGAAGAAAGAATCTGATTTAAACTTAAAAGAGACAGACTCTGAGCAGAGCAGTGCTGCTAAGAAATCAAGTCACTGATAACTAGAAGAATATGAACTTCTACTACTGAATAATTCAGTCTTCATCTCTCATAGCAGAGCAGTGTATCAGAAGTTATTGAGAATTCATCATAATGATTCTTATACAGAGCACTTCAGGTTAGAGAAGACTGAGAAGCTTCTAAAATGTAAATACACTTGAGACAAGCTTCAGACAGATGTCAAAGAGTATGTTGAGACTTATAATATCTGTCAAAGAATAAAGATTCTGCAGCATAAGTAATACAGTGAGTTGATATCACTGTCTATTTCAAAGAACTCATGATAGAATCTATCAATGAATTTCATAGTTGATCTACTGAAGTTAACAAGAGTCAAAGAATATAACTTAATTTTAGTCATTATTGATCACTTCACAAAGATAATCAGATATATCTCTACTTATAAAAAGATTAAAGCCTCTGAATTGACTGATCTGTTTTTAGATATCATCATTTATAATCACAGTGCTTCAAAATCATTGATAACAGATTAAGAATCTCTCTTTATCAGCAAGTACTGATCAGCTTTTTGCTATTATCTTATAATAAGACATCTTCTTAGTATCGCATTTCATTCACAGACTGATGATCAGACTGAACATCAGAATCAGACACTAGAACAGCATCTTCAAGTCTTCTATTTATATTATCAGAATAATTGACTTAAATATCTTCTGATCACTGAATTTGTATATAATAATACAAAGAATGTAATCTTAAAGATATCTTCTTTCTATACTTGTTATGAATATAATTCTTCATTATTCAGTGACATCACAGATAACATTTCAAAGAGAGGAATAGACAGTCAGAATGTTGAACAGATACAGAGAACAGAGTATTTCTCAGTGTCAGAAGTAAAAGTGAGATTGAAACTTTTGAACAAAATTCATAAGAAGACAGTGAAAAGCATTCATTATATTCAGAAGTAATAGATGAAATACTATAATTAAAAACATCTTTCAATGAAGTTCTTGATAGAGAATCAAGTACTACTTTCAGCAAAGAATATCAAGATAATAAAACTGTATAAGAAGCTCAGTGAGTAATGACTAGAACCTTTCTCAGTAATAAGAGTGATGAGTAAGCAGATATATAAGTTGAAATTACTCACAGAATTGAAATCAATTCATTCTGTTTTTCACATTTTCTATTTGAAGCTCTATAAGCAATATCTCAGAGTGAAGCTGTCTCAGTCAGATGATATTAAGATTAAGAGTGATACTGAATATCTTATGAAGAAAATATTGAACAAGTGAATATATTACAGTAAGCTTTAATATCTCATTAAATAAGAAGATTTGTAAGAATAAGTGCTCGCAGGCGATTATTCGGGTGTTTGCAGCTTGGCGTGATATGTACTGTTAACTACTAGAAGTGTTCATGGTAGGAAGATAAATGTAGGGGTCAAATGTATAATAGCATTCAAGCTGAGTTATAAATAGTATTCGCGAACTCCAGTCTATATAGTTGTGTGTAGCCAAGAGTCGCTAGCCCTATTGATTACATGAGAGATAGAAATAGAGGTAAAGAATCTGCAAGAAGTGGGATTTCTTACATACCCCCTTCTCTCTAAGGCTTCATCCGCGAAGCCTTTCACTGAGTGACTTCATAGTCAGCTCAGCACTGCAGTGATACTCACTAAAAACTCTTCACATCTGTAAAAAATCTCAGTGAGGAAAAATCCCTTGTTACTGTGAAGAGAAAAGAGTCTGTCACTCAGTTTCTTGTTCTGTGAGATTCTTTGTGATCTACAGATTCTTCTCTGACTATCACACAGATTCATCTCACATCTTTCATACAGAAGGGTTTCAGTTGACTCTCAATCATTTTCACAAGATTCTTGTATGATCATTACACAGATTCATCTTGCAGGTGAATCACTCTCTATGAGATCATCCTTATCAAAGAGAAATATTCATGAGTTGATCTTTTATTCATCCTCACAAATCATTGCTCTTTGATACTGTAGAATTGTGAGGAATTTTCCATTCTTTCATCAACTCTGTAGAATTATAGAATCAAGATGTCTGCAGTCTGCAATCACTCTTTATAGTCACATAGAAAGATTCAGGCCTGCAATTCATAATCACTCTTGTTTACTAGAGTGATCTGGCTGTTCTGTGGGATCACTCACAGTGTAAGCAAACCTCTCTAGAGTAGTATAAATATCCCAGATCTGTCTATGAAACTTCATCTTCTTTTCCCTTTTTCTGTAACAGCTCTCATCCTCACAAACTGTGAGTATCCTCATTCATTCATGAAGTGTTTTCACTCAGATGATAGAGAGAGAGTGTTTCTGACAATGTTCATATGTTGATTCAAGAACTTTTCAAGAATAAAAATTTTTTCAATTTCAATATCTTTGTAAACAATGTCTGGCTGCTGCTGAGCTTCTTGTGGGCATCTCTGCAACTCCTTCAGTCACTTTTTGCTGGCTGGTGGAGCAGGGGCGCCGCTGCTCATGACCGCGCCTTCATTCCCCCCAGTCTCACCACCACACCTGATCTTCGGGCCAGCAGCCCACCTCATCCCTTTCTCAGGCCAGCCCCTGGCTTCAAGCAGCGCAGTCCCTTTCTTTGCTGTAAGTCTTCTCATAAGTAATTCCTTACAGATTCTAGCTGACAGTTCTTGCAAAGCTCTCAGTGTTGCCAGTGTCTCCTGCGGCCCTGTGGGCCTATGACCACCCCTCTCCTGCTCACACAATCTCTGACCAGGCATATGTGAATATGCCTAGGTTCCCTACCAATGGTCCTCACGCCGCGGCGCATTTCCGCAATCTCATTGTCAATGAGAGATGAGTTCCTGAGTACCTGCAAAATCCAGGTAGTCAAGGCAATGCAAATGCCATGAATTCATGACAGAAGTTGACCTGGGCAGATGAGCTCTCTCTTCACATTCTCATTGTTTTCAGGCTGGATACTCCAGCACAACTGAGAGAGTGAACACAGCTTCATGAGGGATATCTGATCACATGTGCAGATGACCAGTCTTCAAGGCTCTGCTACAACTGCACATGCCCTGGTGTCTGGCTTCTCTGAAGTCTGTGCATTTCTGGCGGTCTTCATGCCAAATGCAACAATTGTCTGTATCACAGGCATGATGCTCTCTGCTTCTTTGAAGAGAAAAATTGGTAGTTGTGAAGGAATTAAATGTCATGAGTGTTGATGATGTGAGTGTAGATTTTCTTTGTTTTTTCTTTGTTGATCTCTAAATTGTATTCATGGCCCTGTTTGTTTTCTTGTTTTTTAGTTTTAATGAGAATATGTTTTCTTCTTCTCTTGTGTATGCTGCAGACTGTTCATCTCAGTAGAAACTCATCATCTTATAGACTAGGATTTGCAAATGACAGTGTTAATGTCTTTGTCACAATCAGGTTCTTAGTGAAGACTGTATCATTCTGACTTGTTAGAATTTATAGCATGGAAGTCATGTCTCAGCTTCTGCAGATGTCTTATCTGTCTGAATGATTCTCAAGTGAACTCATTCATCTTGTCAGAATATCCTTGTCACTGAACCTTGAATCAGAGCTTGTGATCTTGCTTCTCTGAGTCAACAATCTCTTTGACCTGATATTCTCTTTCACTCTCTAATGCTTCATGGACAGAGTGATGAGTCACAGAGTTCTCTCCTGAGAATTCCTTATATTCATGGAGCAAAGAGACATGAAAAACATTGTACATCTGCAACTCAGGTGACAGTTTCAATCTGTAGAACTGTGAGCTAACTTTCTTCACAATCTTGCAAGACTCTGTCTGCAAGAGATTCAGCTTCTTGCTAGATCTCTGTATGATAATGTTTTCTAGACTCAGTCAGACTCTATCATCTTTCTTGAAACTCTTTGCAATGTGCTTGAAGTCATAGTATCTCTTCTGATACTCTTGGGCCTTTCTCAAGGATTTGTGAGCTTTCTCCCGGATCTCCTGAATTCTCTCAGCCTGTTCACAGGCATCACCACACTCTATAGTGTACTCTCACGGGTCCATCAAGGTCATTCACAGATGAGTCTCAGTGAGCATCTCAAAGAGGGTTTTGCCTGTGCTGACATGCTTTGAGTTGTTGTATGTGAACTCTGTGAGTGATAATTAATGCACTCAGTCATTCTGATTGTAATTGACAAAGCACTGCAGATACTGTTTTAATATACTCATCAGACATTCTGTCTGATCATCTGTCTGTTGATGAAAAGCTGTGCTTAGATCTCACAAGATCTTCAGTATAGTTATCAGATCAGATCAGAACTCTTCTGTAAAGATTAATTCTCTGTCTGAGACAATGTTCACAGATAATTCATGCAACTGAACCACATTGCAGACAAAGATATGAGTTAAATCCTTTGACTTCAAGTTCTTGCAGGTGGGTATAAAGTGTGTCATCTTGATAAAGTAATTCACTATCACCAGCACACTGTCAAAGCAGGTATCATATATGTCCTTGCTTTCAGAAAGACTCACAAGAGCATTCATTCCTAGCTGTTCTCAAGGTTTCTATGAAATGGGTAGAGGAGTGAGTTCTTCATATGACCTGAACTGCACTACCTGCAAACCCTGATAAATAGCATAAGAATTCACTATCTTCTTCACAAGTCCTTGCATCTTCAGTCAGAAGTATTTTCTTGCAAGCAACTCATGAGTTCTAGTGTCTGTAAAATGACCTGCTAGAGAAGAGTCATGATGCCTTTTGATGAGTTCTACATGTAGAAACTCATTCACAGGCACATAAATCCAGCCCTCTCTTCACAAGAGGTCATTTAAGTCTCTTCAATTCTTTGTTTCTGCAGAATTGATCTCTGCTGTGAGCAGTTTCTGAATATACTGAGCATATTCATTCTTCAGTTGCAGTTCAGACAATCTGAATAGAAGATCTTACAAAGACTTGTGCTCTGTTTTTCCTTGCATCAGGTCTTTCACAGCACTTCTCAAAGCCCACAAACTCTTCAGGTTATAGGTACCCTCTTCAAGGATCCTCACAGAGATCTTCAGAGTGTTGACTCTCAGTGTTACAGAGAGTAGTTGCACAGGCTTCTTCTCTCTCTCTCCCCCCTTCTCTCACAGGGGATTGAGAGACTCTTCAGTCAATCTCTTCACAACACTCAGTCTGAGCATCTTGTGAAGCTTTTCTGCCTTCTCTAGTCTCTCTGTGTCTGTCATTCTGGCCTTCTTAACATAGTCTGGCCTGTGAGAGAGTTCATCTGCTGAGTTCTTAGTTCTCTTGATATGCTCTATCTTGAATCAGAACTCACTCAGTCTCTGAGCTCAGTAAACCTGCTGCTGTGAGAGTTTCTTGATTGAAGCAAACTATTGTAAGCTGTCATGATCAGTTCTAACAGTAATCACTGTCACAAGGCTCTTGAAGTAGTGATATCAGTGATAGAAGAATTTCACTATCACAAGAAGCTTCTGATCATGAATGTCATAGTTGATCTCCGCAGGTTGCATCTTCCATGAGAAAAAGGCCACTGAAACCCAGTTCTCATTTGACTGTAGTTGTGAGACTATTTCTGAAATTGCAAAGAAGAAGGCATCTGTCTTCAATCTGGTTAAGAGCAAGGAATCAAAGTGGAACAGCATCACTGCATCTATGAATACCTGTTTCAACCTTGTAAAGACCCTGCAAGCTTCTGAGATAAGAAAGTCCTCACAGTTCTCTCTTCTCAATAATCTTTTCATCCTTCATTCACAGAATGACTTTTTCTTGTTTTCACTCTTCAGCATGTCTGTAAGGATCAAGAAGATCCTCGCGAATGCAAAGATAAACTGTCTATAGAAATTCACAAAGCTCAGAAAGATCTGAATCTCATGAATACTAGTTGACTCTGATCATGATAGAATAGTCTCAATCTGTGAAGGTTTCATCTGAATATCATCTGCAGTGATTACATATTCTAGGAAATTAATCCAGCAGGCACTGAAGTTGCACTTCACAAGCTTAACATACAGTCCTGCCTCATCTAAGACCTTCAACACACTTTGCACATGCTCAGTGTGTTCTTCCTTCTTCATGAAGTACATCATCACATCATCCAGATATATTACCATGAAGACATCCAGATATACACAAAGTGTTTTGTTGATGAAAGACTGGAATGCCGCGGGGGCATTAGCCAGATCAAAAGACATCACTAGATATTCAAACAATTTCAGTGCAGTTCTAAAGACAGTCTTTCATTCATTCTCAGACTGTATTCACAGCTGTGTATATACATTGATCACATTCAGTTGTGTGAATATGACAGCTTCTGTGAGACAGTTGATCACATCCTCAATCAGAGACAGAGGGTAGTGACTCTTTGTTGTCTTAGAGTTCAGGTCATGATAGTCTACACACAACCTGAGATCTTCATTCTTCTTCTTTATGAACATCACAGGGGCTTCCGCGGAGGTCTGTGAAGATTAAATGAAGTCATTCTTCAGATTCTTCTTCACATAGGTCCGCAAGACCTCTGTCTTATAATGAAAGAGCTTATAGATTGGTCCTCAGAAGAGTTTCTGCTCTTCTATCAAATCTATTACCAGATTCTCCTTGCAGTGAGAAGGAAGCTCAGCTGCCTTAGCTGGGCTGAACACCTCTGTGAGATCTCAGTATTCCTCTGATATCTGAAGCTCAGTTTTCATGACTGTGAGGTCCTCAGACACTTGCAAAGTTATTATATAGATGAGCTTGTCTTCTCTAATCAACTCTGCAGCATCAACTGCTTCTACCTTCATGAGTGAGTCTGCCAACACTGATTGAAAGTATAAACCTGACTCATGAACAGCTATGTGCGGATTGTGTCTTTGAAGTCATGCAAGTTTCAAATACATGTCATCTGTGATGTCTGTGACAATCACAGTTTTCACAAATCTTCTTCAGATTTCAGAGAGATCTTGTAATTCAAAGATGGCTCTTGCAAGTCTCTCAGCTCTCAGGTCTGAGTTCTCACATCCTGCTTGTTGCAAGAGCAGGTTCTCAGTCTCCATCTTTCAGCTCATTCACTCTGTGAGCTTTAGGGACATCACAGTGACCTGGGATCCTGAGTTCACCAATGCTTCCCATGCTTGCGGGGCAGCAGCACTGTGGCACAGTCTCTCCCCATGAGCAAGCATTTTCATTGAGAGAGCAACAGATTCAGGTGTCAGCTTCAAGACCCTTAAGAAGGCTGTTGCTGACTCTGTCCATGACTCCTCAAATTCCTATTTTGATTTGTCTGGACAGTTTGCGCGGAGATATCCTGATTTAGAACAGATGAAGCAGAGTCTCTTTTTCTTAGTCTCTCTGTTATGCACTCTGTTCACAGGAGCTTGTGAAGCTCTCTCTCTCTGCTCAGCAGTCAGACATGAATCTCTCTGTGTCTTGTCATCTTTTCCTGACAAACCTGTTCTCTGTTGTCCTGGCCCTTGCAGGGCTGGTCAATGATTCACTCTCTGCAGGTCTGTGGCTCTCACAGTGATCTGCAAGTGATGAATGAGAGTCATCAGTTTCTTCAGGGTCAAGGACTTAGAGTCTTGCTCAATGAGCTTGTTCTGCATGTCTTTATCCAGTCTCTTCATGAATATCATTATTCAGGTCTTGTTTCAGGGCCCTGTTTTCACAGGTCTCAATTCACACCACAATTCCATGAAGTGCTGTGAGTAGTCTTCATCAGATTTCTCATCTCTTTTTCTAATATTGATGATTACAGCCCAGGTGTTCTCTGTCTGGCTTGTGAAGTCCCTCAACTTGTTCTCTAGATAGGTCTTGAGAACAGATCATCAGAATCTCTCATGATCATTCTCTAAATGATTCAGCCAGTTCTTGGCTTCAGTGTAATAGAGGCCTGTCATCACATAGATGACAGCTTCTTCATCTTTCATGTCACACAGCCGGGCTTGCAAGTCAATTTCAAATACAAACTCACAAAAGCTTTTATAGATTGTGGTTTGATAGATGGCCTTAAGTGGTTGTGACTTGAGGAAGTTTCTTTTCAGTTCATGAGTGTCTCTGGAGATCATGTCTAGAGACTCAGTTTGAGAGTGTTTGCAGACAGTAAGCATTCCTTGTAGAAAAATAGCTTGATCCCGCGGGAGGTGCTCAAGAATGTTCTTCACTGAGATTGGTTCATTTGTGGGTTCAGAGGGTTCCCCTGTCACAGATGCAGAGAATGGTGTCCTGCGAGTGATTGGTAAGTCCTCTGAGACTTCTTCCACAGGGGTTATCCATGGTTCGGGTGGCTGCTCCTGGGTGCCTGCAGTAGGGTTCGCAGGGGTTGAAGCACATGAGTTTCTAGTTCTTCCAGTCATAATGAGCGGTTGCTGACTGACTGAGCTTGAAATGTAAGAATAAGTGCTCGCAGGCGATTATTCAGGTGTTTGCAGCTTGACATGATATGTACTGTTAACTACTAGAAGTGTTCACGGTAGAAAGATAAATGTAGGGGTCAAATGTATAATAGCATTCAAGCTGAGTTGTGAATAGTATTCGCGAACTCCAGTCTATATAGTTGTGTGTAGCCAAGGGCCGCTAGCCCTATTGGTTACACAAGAGATAGGAATAGAGGTAAAGAATCCGCGAGGAGCGGGATTTCTTACAAGATTATTCATTATTAGAGAATTCATGAGAATTACTTAAGTATTTGAAAAATGCTGAGAAAGAGATTGCAATCTATGAGACAGCTAGTAGAGATCACTCTGTTACATATCAGAGATGTTGGACAAGAAATGCTGCTTGAGACTTCTTATTTTCTTAAAGAGTTTTTTAGAGATAATCTCACAGTGATGAGCTGATATCTTGTAGACTCTGTAGCACTCTTCTTCTATTTTCTTTCAAAGAGTTTTTTAGAAGTTTAATGAGACTACACAAGTGTAAAATTCCTGAAGTGATTAATAAGGAAAAGAAAGAAATATTTGAAATTAATAAAAAGATTAATATTAATTGATCTGTGAGCTGCTGCTAATCTAATGAGGCTGCAGCCTGCTGAAAAAGTAAAAAGAAGAAATCTCAGAGCCTACTCATTAATAATCACATTCTTATCAAACTCATTCTTCACTGTTGAAGTCTTCAGCACTGATATCTTTATCTGCTGAGAAGTTAGCACTGCAGTATCACAGAAGAACATGAGAAATGTATAAAATATTAACTTATTAACTTACAAAGCATCTCAGTCATCTGCTTCAGTTAAAGTGAGATTCTCTTCAATCAGTGATTAGTCTTTATGATACTTTTAACAGTAGTACTGACTGATCTCTTCTTAAGATCAGTTATTCTGAGGTGTTTTTTCATCTCAGAGACTCATGCTTTTATCTTCTTTTACAGATGAGTAAGAGAGATCTTCTCAGCCTTGATAGAATCTATCAATACTTGAAGCTCTGAGACTCTCACTCTGTACTGCTTGAGTATCTAAACTTCTTATCAGAACTGACATAACATCTTTCTGTGAGATAATACTTATAGAGAGACAGGAGTCATTATTGCAGATATAATAGAAATAACAGAAGTAAGAGAAGAAGCAGATGTATAAAATCCTCTCCTTCTTCAGCTGCTTAGTACAGTGCAGACAAGTAGCAGTACTGATCAGAGGCTGCACTGAAGCCTTCTCACAGAGAGAAGATGAAGGAATCACAGAACTCTGCAGACTCAACTTAGCAGCATTCTGAGCAGGACTCAGGTGTGCTGCAGAAGAGGAACTACAGATTAGACTTCTCAGAGTCACTGTCTTCAGAATCAAGCTCTCTTCAGATTTCTCTCTGAATGATCACACAGGGTCATATGTCACTGTATTGACTGGGGGGGGAAGCAGTGTTGCAATGACAGTGAGAGAGGCAGAGAATGAACTGAACATGAACAAACTGACTGACAGAAGAGATGACATCTCACTGCAAGGCACAGTGACTATCACTGCAGCTGTAAAAGAAGTAGGAGAAGAAGGAGATGTAATAATGAGAGTGAAGCTTCTGCAGCTCATTGACACTGTTATCTTCACCTTCAACCTGGCTTTCTCAACAGTTATGAAGATTATCACTGCATCACAAAGACATTTATTACTCACTAGAAAACATCAGAATAAGCTCTTGATTGTTCTTCAAGAACAATACTCTCATACACTTACTGTTGCAATTGAGAAAAGGGAAAGAAAAATGTTTCACAGAGAGAGAGATCTTTTCAAAAAATCCTGTCACTACTGTTAGCTTTGTCTCTAAAATATATCACTTTTGCAGAGAATTTCATATATAGAACAGAATATATTGAAAGATCTGTAAGTCACTTGTTAACTACATTTCTCACATTTCAAATTGATATATAAGGAACTCACTTATCATATATTTGATTTGAATGATGATAAGAAAAGAAAGATCTATACAGTCAGTAGAAAAACTCATCTATTTCTTTGTATCACACACAGCACATGCACTATCAAATCAGTTGATAATCATTATTATATAACAAAGATAATTTCTAATTCAGTAATCTTGAGAGTATAGAGACTATACTCTTAAAGAGAAGAGTATTGTTATACTCTCAGTCATATCAAGACTCTGTTACAGTTTCACATGACTCATCACTTTCATGTGAATAATTTCATCTCATCTAAATCAGTTTTTAATCACTCTATAATATTATTTAGATATATCATAGAAAGATCTGATTAATAAATATAAGAATCTCACTTCTATATAAGATCAGCAGATTACTCTTTCTTAGCAATGAGATGCTGCTGAGGTATTACTTCAGTTATTCTCACTCATGAAATGAGAGAAGAGTATTCACTCATTATCTATATAGAATAGCTAGATACTGACTTCTTATTAAAGAAGTCAGTGATTTGTTTTACTACTACTGAAATATACACAAGAGTTACTGTGTGTCTTATACAATCTTCTTAGTATACTAAGTATTATATCTGTGATATTCTCACAATAACTCTGTAGCCTATGAGCTCACTATTCAAGCAAGATAGTTAAGCTCACTTATACAGCTTCTCAAACAACTACCTCTACATGTCACCGCCAACTAGCCACCGCTTCGATTCCGCAACGTTACAATCACATTGATTTCAAATCACATTATTTCAAATATTAAAGATCTCAGATTTACTTTTCAAATAAAAATCTAGTTCTGAATAAAGAATATGTTTGAATTCTTAGTCACATTTTCATTCTGATCTCATTATTGAGAATAACATTAAATGAGATTATGAAATCACTTCTCACTTACATAATATCATAACATAGTACTCATTTGTTGAAAATTCAACAGAGAGTGTTATTAAATATCATTACTTTTCTAAACACAGATTATAATTTATATAATTTTAATTATGAAAAAAACATAAAATATAAAAAAAAACAAAAAACAAAAAACAAAACAAATATAAGAAAAAATCACATTAAAAAAAAAAAAAAAGAATAGAAAAAGAAAAAAATAAAAAATAAAAATAAAAAAAATCAAGATTACAGAACTGCAGCACTCTTAAAATACTCACTTCTCAAAGTCTTTACAATGTTTATTATCAATTATGTATCTCTCACAGTGAGAATAACACAGCTGTGATGAGCTATTGTCTTAACATCATCTAACAAATAATCAGTATATATCTGTATAAATGTGAATAATTAGAAAACATACACTTAAAAAGTGTGACCAGGGTGAACTCTGCTGTCACTTGAATGACATCAAGAACAGAACACTGAAATTGATAATTTTCCTCATCAATTTCACAGACAAGGTGTGTGAAGATAATCTTGAGAAATATAAGATCTCTCAACTTCTAGTAAAAATGAATCTCACAGAGAGACTCTATTTTCATGATATCAGAGACTGAGTATTATCAAAAAGCATTACTTTCATGCAATGCATATGCACTTACTGCAATGATTCACTCTCTGCACATGTGACTGAGAGTTGCAGCTTTCTCACATCACACAGCTCTCTCTGAGATGCTGCTGTCAGTTTACAACTCATGCAGTCTCTCAGTTCAGCACATGCTGTGCATATGCAGCTCTGCATACTGAGGCTGTGTTGGCCATTATGGCCTGGCGTGGTACTCACTTTTCGCGAGTCATGTTTCATTTGAGAGGGGGGGAAAAGACATAACTGTTGTTTTATTGAGAGAGGGATGAATAATTAGTATTATTGAATTATTTTGATTCATCTGCATTTAAAATTTGATTAGTTTATACTCTTCAATTTGAGAGTTTCTATGAGTATTTTAATAGTTTTCATACCAGCTTGAACTTAGTGATGAGTTGAAGAAGAAGAGAAAAGAGAGAAGAAAGAAATAAGAATAACTTATCTTTATAATATAAAAACAGAGAATCACTGTAATTATTCTCTCTAGTAATAAAGATCTGTTTTCTGTATGTATTTCTGATATAGATTATATGATAAATGCATACAAAGAATATCAATAGTGCATGTATTGAATGAAGATAATGTTGCTATGCAACACTGTAGCTGTTTCTGTACATCTCTGAAAGCTGTTAATAGTTTCTTTATCTCTTTATGTTTAGTAAGTTAATAATATATTCTGATACACTTTCTCTTTCATCATCATCATCATCATCATCATCATCATCATTATCATCATCATTACTATCATTATCATCATCATCATCATTATTATTATTATCATTATTATTATCATCATCATCATTATCATCATTATCATTATCATTATCATTATATCATTGCCTGTCTTCACTCTCTCTTAACACTCATCAAAATCAATCATGTTATTTCTCTTCAAATATTCTGCGGTTCTGCGGATCATCAAGGCGCGTGAGCACTGTCACAGATTGAAGAGAGAGAAGAAGAAGACATTTAAGTGTGAAGAGACAGATTACAAGACATGTTATAATGTCTTGAAGAGGCTCTGTAAGAAAGCAGAATAATAATGATTTTAAGTAACACTTCTGATAGATTTAGACTGAACTAAGTATAGAAATAATACAGATAACACTGCTTGTGAGAGATTGAAAAAGAAGACAGTGAAGAGCCTTATATAGCAGTGATGAGATCAGAAGAAGTCTTAAGAATGATTTAAGACTAAGATGAAGAGAGAGAGAGAGAAGAAGAGTATTACTGTAAATAAGCAGCAGCAGAAGAAGATTGAGAAGATATTGAAATAAGAGATAAAGAAGTCAAAACTGATAAGTTTTTTATTAAGAGATAACAATTTTTGATAATACTTCTGTTCTCTAATTGATTAGTAGAAGCTGACAGAGAAGAAGGGAATTGAGGCCTTGTTCAGGTCTCAAATGTACTTCATGATTCAGAACATTGAGAAGATAGTTCTGCTCTCTGAGCATGTCAATCTGCTTATCACTGAGGTGGAACCTGAGGCAGCAGACCAGGAAATGCAGGATTTTGAGATACAGATTGACCTGGCTGAAGAAGAGCAGTGAGAACCCTTCTCTGAGAAGGCAGCAGAGAGAGATTTTAAGATGATTATCATCTCAGATGAGAAGAAGGAGAAGAAGAAGAAGAAGAAGAAGAAGAAGAATGAGAAGTAAATTATGAAGAATAATAAGAAGAATGAGAAAGAGAAGAAGTAGATTTTTTTCTTTTTATATTAGTTAGTTATAAGTTTAAGTTTTTAATTATTAATAATTAAAATTGATTTTGAGTTTTCAAAAATTATTGTACAAGTTGTAATCAAGTCAGAAATGATATATATATATATATATATTTAACTATCATGATTCATAAATCACTATAATGTATAAGTATCAACATTTTTTCAACATTGATATTCACAATATTAATATATTTTTAATGATATTATTTAATAACATAATTTGATAATACTCTCTTTCATAATATTAATATATTTCAAGAAATATAACAGAGATTAATCAAGATTATTTATTTACTTTTATATATCAATGATATTCAATCTGAGTTAGTACTAAAATTATAACTAAGCTAAGAAACAAGATTATTTTCTCTTATATTAATTCTTCTTACACACATCAGTAATCAGTTATTGAAAATAAATTGTTATCTTTCTCAAATTATTATCATGTCTTCTAAATTCACTTCTTTCACTTCTTTTACTTCTATTGAAGATTCACAAACTCTTTAAAAAATCACTGTGAATTACAAAGTCTACATTATTTATAATTCAACACAGAATACTCTCTTTCAATTATAATGAATAATCACTTCATTCTTCACATCTGATTTCAGGCCATGAAATTTATGAAAAACTCAATATAAATATCAAGATGAACTATGAAATAATTATTAACAGATTGTATTGTAGATTACTGAAGAGTTATCTCTTTACTGTAATTACTGCAACTTTATTCAGAAATATTCATCATAAACTGATCATAACTCTGAAGAAATTTTCTGATATCTGAAGTCATCAGAATGCAGACAATAAAAGAAAAATAATCAGAAAATTACTACTGAGCTGATAAGTTACTCTATCAGATAACAATTTTTGATAACACTAACTTTCTAATTTGAAGAAAATTATGTGAAAATGACTCTGTATCAGTACTCTGATTTCACAACTCTCATCTGATAACTTCTGTGAATAATTACTTTGTATATGTATATCTCTGAATCTTTCTCTTTAATCAATTGAAAACTCTGAATTCTGAACACTTCTTTAAATACTTAATTCAAATCTTTATATTTCACATCAATTCTGTCTTCAGTTCAATCTCAAGACATACTACAAAGTCAATATACAATATCTAGAATCAGAGTTGAAGAATCATTGAAGAGTGTCTCTCACAGTGAATGCATAAACTAGTACAAACAATCTTGCATTTATGAGAGTTATATGTTATTACATTGATGAGAACTGAACTTATTGAGAGACATTAATTGAATTTGAATCATTGATCAGTAGTTATACTGAGAATTATATAACAGAGGTATTAATGACTGTGATTAAAAATAACTATTGAGATATTAGTCTCAGTCTTCTTACAATTACAACTGATAATGCTGTGAATAACTACACTATGATGAAGAGCTTGAAGCAAAAATTGACTTTGCATTTCTGAAATGATAAACAAGGTCATATTCTCTGCATTGCTCATGTGATTCAACTTGTGATATAAACACTGATAAAGAATCTTAACATTGAGATGAAGAATAATGAGATGACTGATTCTTGAGATAAGAATGAGATGAAAGTGATTACTCAAGTAACTTTTATATTCACTTTACAAAAGATAATGTTTTTTAATAATACTTTTTGATATTACTTTTTGATAACACTTTTTGATAACACTACTGTTAATTTTGAATAGATTGACTAATAATTTAAATATCATAGATTCAAAACATTGCTAATGCAATTTATACCTCTTCTAAACAATAACAACAATTTCATGATATTCAATAAATAAATAAATCAGTCATATCACTGAATATGATACAGAATGTTAGAACACAGTGAAGTTCAATATATAAGATGACTGTTCAGACTCTTTGATTGTATCAGATGATTGATCATTGAGTGCAATACTCTGATTGAGAAAAGATTCAGATATTAAAACTTTCTAATATGAAGTGAACTCAGTTGAAATATGTGATTGATTTACTGTTTCAGTTTTATAAGATAATAAAGATAGTCTCAATCACTCATATATCAATACTGCAGTCAGTCTGGTGAGTGTATAACAGTTTATTTACTTATCTTGAGAAGCAGTTAAATCACTTAAAAAGAAATTCAGTCTGAGATGATGCTATAGCACAGGCTATTATTGCTGTAAGAGATAAACTAGTATATTACTACAGCAAAACAGAACAATCTTTTACAGAGTACTATACTGTAGCAGCTCTACTAGATCTTTCTCATTGAGTTAATATCTACACTTCTCAAGATTGAACAGAGAAGGAATAAGACTCATATATTAAATTAGCTCAAGACTACTACAATGCTAACTATCAGAGATTTGAATAAGCAGATATTCAAGATATGAAGACAGTGAAATATAATTCTCTAGTAAGTAACAATCTTTGATAACACTTCATATCACATAGAACTATAATACTAACTTTGAAACAGAACTTGTATACATTGATTACAACTGAAAATCAGGCAAAACTACATGCTTATAAAACTGAATTTGATCACTATCTTCAAGATAATCTGACAAATTTACACACTAAATCAATTCTAGAGTTATGAAAAATTGTTGAGAGTACATATTCAACTGTTACACTGATGATACATGATATTCTAGCAATTTCATTGACAGAGGTGAGAATAAAGTGAAAGTTCAACTCAAGTTAAGATATTTATTACTATCACTGAGAACAATTACAAGAAGAAACAATCAAGAAACTCATGATTGTAAAATATGAAATTATCAGACAGTTTAATACCTCTGATCACAGTATATCAGAGAAGTGTAGTTTTCATGAGAAAGTAAAGAATAAACTTGTACAAGAATGTATTTAGTTGTTTCATGAGTGTTATCAATAATCATTATCAAATTCTGATTATATAAGCAATCACTGAATGAATTAAATGAAACTGATTTTGATCTTCAGTCTCAGTCTCATTCTGATTTTGAAAGAATGATCATTTTTCACAGTTTATTCTGGAAAATTACTTTCATTTCACTGTTCTTGAATTAAATCTGGTCATTTTTCACACCATTTCTCTCAGAAATGATCCATTTTCAGATTTTTTTGAGGCTTGGTTCTGGTGGGACTCACGCCAAGAAATGTATGAGATCAGACCAAATGGGACCAAATGTGAAATTCATGGTCCCGCCGGCCAGTCTAGAATCAAGCCTTAAAAAAATCTGAAAATGAATCATTTCTGAGAGAAATGATGTGAAAAATGATCAGATTTAATTCAAGAACAGTGAAATAGAAGTAATTTCTCAGAATAAACTGTGAAAGATAATTATTCTTTCAAAATCAAAATGAGACTGAGACTGAAGATTAAATTCAGTCTCATTCAGTTTATTCAGTGATTACTTATATAATCAGAATTTAGTGACAATTATTGATAATGCTCATGAAACAACTAAATACATTCTTATACAAGTTTATTCTTCACTTTCTTATGAAAACTACACTTCTATGATATACTGTGATCAGAGATATTAAACTGTCTGATAATTTCATATTTTATAATTATGAGTTTCTTAATTATTTCTTCTTATAATTGTTTCTGATGATAGTGATAAATATCTTAGCTTGAGTTGAACTTTCACTTCATTCTCATCTCTGTCAATGAAATTGTCAGAATATTATGTGTCATCAGTACAATAGTTGAATATATACTCTTAACAATTTTTCATAACTCTAGAATTAATTTAATGTGTAAATTTATTAAATTATCTTGAAGATAGCAGTTAAATTCAGTTTTACAAGTATATAGTTTTACCTGATTTTCAGTTATAATCAATATATATAAGTTCTGTTTTAAAGTTAGTATTATAGTTCTATGTGATATGAAGCATTATCAAAGATTGTTACTTATTAGAGAATTGTATTTCACTGTCTTCACATCTCTAATATCTGCTTATTTAAATCTCTGATAGTTAATATTATAGTAGTCTCAGACTAATTTAATATATAAGTCTCATTTCTTCTCTATTCAATCTTGAGAAGTGTAGATATTAACTTGATAAGAGAGATTTAGTAGAGCTACTATAGCATAGTACTCTGTAAAAGATTGTTCAGTTTTACTGTAATAATATACTAGTTTATCTCTTACAGTAATAATAGTCTGTGCTATAGTATTATTTCAGACTGAATTTCTTTTTGAGTGATTTAACTGTTTCTTAATATAAGTAAATAAACTGTTATACATTCTTCAGACTGACTGCAGCATTGATGTATAAGTAATTGAGACTGTCTTTATTGTCTTATAAAACTGAAACAGTAAATCAATTATATATTTCAACTGAGTTCACTTTATATTAGAAAGTTTCAATGTCTGAATCTTTTCTCAATCAGAGTGTTATACTCAATAATCAATCATCTAATATAATCAAAGAGTCTGAACAGTTATCTTATATATTGAACTTCATTATATTCTAACATTCTGTATTATATTCAGTGATGTGACTGATTTATTTATTTATTGAATATCATGAAATCATTGTTATTGTTTAGAGAAGGTATAAATTGTATTAATAATGTTTCAAATCTGTGATATTTAAATTATTAGTCAATCTATTCAAAATTAACAGTAGTATTATCAAAAGATGTTATTAAAAAGTAATATCAAAAAGTATTGTCAAAAAATATTATCTTTTATAAAGTAAAATATAAAAGTTACTTGAGTAATCACTTTCATCTTATTCTCATCTCAAGAATCAGTTATCTCATTATTCTTTATCTTGATATTAAGATTCTTTATCAGTGTTTGCATTACAAGTTAAATCACATGAGTAATATAGAAGATATGATCTTGTTT